ACTTATTTATATACTCCCTCCGTTTTTTAAAACACTTCCTCTTTCATTTTTTTCACTTCCAACAAAACACTTCCACTTTCTATTAAAAAACCACTTTTACCCTTACTTTTTCATACCCTACCTATCACATCATACTTTATCTCTAATAATCTATCCATCACATCTTACTTTTACCTATCACATCAAGGGCAAAATTGGAAGTCAACTACAATTTAATACTTTCTTATTTTTACACAAAGTCAAAATAGGAACACTTTTTCCAAACGGAGGGAGTATTTCTTTTTATTTTATATAAACTTTTAAATAAATTAAATTTTAAATAACTTCAATAAAACATCATATCCAATAAAAAAGCGACATAATGTCTATATGAAGTACACTAATATAATAAGCATATAATCCCAACACTCCATAAATTACCTAATAATGTTGATTCATCTTTAAGATCATACGTATTGTAGTGCATGTTGATATACTCCATATTTTTTTTCATAAAAACACTCTAGAGAAAGTCACTTGATAATTGAAAAAGCACAAACAAAAAAGGGAAAAAAACATGTTGAGTTAAAATATCAATGCTTGAAAAGATTTGAACACAAGACAAGCAACACTTACTAATGGGTGTGAATAATTAAATATATATGTAGAAAAATGTTTGTTTAAGATATGATTAGACTTTCACTATGGCAAAAAAAAGTCAAAATTGAAGACCACTGGCCCACCCTCTCATTAAAAATAAATAAAAAAATTCTACCCACAATTAATATTTTCTGTACCCCTCATTCCTTCAATTAATTTGTCTGAAGTAATTGCATGATCCATGTTTGGAAAATAAAAAATAAAAAAAATTACTACAAGTAATAAAATTTTAAAATGGAATGAAAATTATGACAGATCAAGGCTCAAAAAGAACAACAGGCTGAACTGCATTTCTTGAACCCCATCCCTGCCCAAATGAGAAAAATGACCTTTTTACCCTGCTGCCACTGCTCCCACCGCCGCCTTCACTGAGATGATGATCACCGGCCGCCGGGAAACAACCCTGCCGTTGAACTATTTCTTGAACGTCCGAATAAATCTGCCGGTCGGCGGCGGAGTTCATGGAGAAAGATCTCCGAATGGGCGCGATTCCGAACCGATCGTCTCTGTTTCTTGATTCAATCCACTCGTCCCCGAAGCTCGAAACATGGGTCAGATCCTTGGCCCTTTTTACCCCAGATTGAAGAACAATTGTTTCTCGAACTCCGATCACTTCATCTTTCCGGCGACCCTGGGAGCGAATTCCGACGACGGGGACACTGCGATCGTCATCTTCGTCGCCGCCGGCGGTACGGGGAGTCAAGATCGGATCTTGGGGACTGGTACGAGGAATCAAGACCGGATCTTGGACTGCGGCGGACACGGCGGTCCTGCAGAGCGGGCAGGTGGCGTTGCTCTGCAGCCAGACGTCGATACAGTCGACGTGGAAATAGTGGCGGCAGCTCGGGATGATTCTCAGCTTCTGCGATTCCTGAAACTCGCCGAGACAGACGGCGCATTCCCGCGCCGCCGCGTGCTCCTCCCCGTAGCAGAACACCGGGATCGACCGGATCGCCGACTCCCGGAGGCCGCGATTCCGAACGGGCAGAGGCCCGTCGGCGGCGCTCCCCTGTCGGCTCCTCAGCCGCCGGAGGAGACCATCTGCTCTGTTCCAGCTCAAGCAGCACTTGATCACGAAAACATAGTAGCTGACGAGCAATAAACCCGTGGCGAGTATTCCGACAATGGCAACTGTAATGATCGGGAAACTAGCATTACCGGCGGGCGTCCGGGGCACGGAGCCGGCCGGAGAAAGGTGTTCATGGTGACTCATGGAGCCGGCCGGAAAAAAGAGACTATTTTTGGGAAATATTAAATTTGTTTTCTATATAAAAAAAAAACAGTTTGAGAGAATTAATTAAAGAATCCCTATAAAAGAATGGGAAGGTGAGGGGGGGAAACCGTGTGGAGATGAATGGGAATAACAAATGCATGTGGATTTTTAAGGGGTAGGGGACCCTATAGTAGTGAGAAAGAGAGCCCCAGATGAGAAGGAAAGTCTTTGGGCCAAGGACCAAATAGAGGGCACTGACACCCTAACTACTACTACTACTAGGACTCCTTTAGAGAACAAAGATACGGTGTACCTAAAATGTAATCATTTTTTCCCACTCTCAAAGTCGTCTGATGTGTATTTGTCAAAATTAAATAAAATGGAATAATTTTTAAAAAAACTCCATCGTCTATAAAAAAAAGTTCTCAGTTAGTGTATGATGTTTGACGAAGTTATTTTTCTATAATTTTATATTAAAAATGATATAGAAAATGGAAGAAGTAATGAACTAAAGAAAAAGAAATAATTTTCCTTCTATTTTGATGAGGAAATAAAAAGAGAACTCCTTTCTTTTCATTTCCTCTCAAATTCCACCAACTAAACATTATATTCATGAAATTCAAGACTTTCACAATGGTCTTGATTGTCCCAGGCGAGTTAAGATAGACCCGAAAATCAATACTTGGATGAGTCGTACAAAACCTAGGTTGTCAAGTACTCTTTTCATTCCAAATTAAATTATCGGTTTACTATTTACAATGTCAAACTTTATTTATTTTCTTTTCACATTTTTGTTAGGCATTTGATAAAATAATATAATCATATCGCCACTAGTTTTGTAGATCTTTTTGTAGGCCATGTGTGCATCAATTTTTCTGTGGGCGTTTGTGTGTGCTAAATGTCATCGACGCTTGTGTGTGCTAAAGACTAAATTATGCGCTTTTTCCAACACCGATTGATTTTAGAAGAATTGGTAGTGTCTGAGGTTCTACAAGTGGTATCGGAGCCAAGGTCACGAGTTTGATTCCCAGCAAAGGCAATTCATGAGGGGGAGATTCTTGATCATGTGTGCATCAATTGTCTCGTGACGGAGGCTATGTGAGCGAAGTCATAATCAAATATCGTGGGCACTTGTATGTGCTGAATGCACTATAAGGCTAAGACATGTGCTTCGGCTTCTTCTAATACTAATTGGTTTTAGAAATTAGAAGAGTTGGTAGCGCCTGAAGTCCTAAACACTTGATGTAGTTTTTTAAATTTGTAATTTTTTTAAATTTTATACAATTTTTCGTATAAAATGATTTAAAAAACAACTTCAGTAAAACATTGTAAATCAAAACAAACAATTTAATTGAGACAGAGAAAGTAAACTTTTGAACGGGATAAAAAAATACTAAGAGCAGCAAGTTTCTCGGTGATTTTTTAAACATCTCTTATGGACATTGGAGTCTAGAGGATGCATGTCCATGATTATTATGAATCCAAAGAACTTAGGGTTTGGCTCAATTCTACTCATGGTTATTATGAATTCAAAGAACTTTCTATCCTCAAGGTGAAAATCCACTTTCCAGGGTCAAGCCTCAAACTATACATAACGATTAATATGCAAATAGTTTCTCTGTAGTTTTGCGTGAACCACCACATCTATTTGCGATTAAATGTTTGGTAGTCCATTTGCTGGGAAATAACTTTCCAAATGGACATAAGTATTTTTTTACTATTTTTAAAGTGAGTTAAAAAAAATAAAAATTTCTTAATGAAAGGGGGTGGATTGTTGGAAGAGTGTAATGGATAAAGAAAATTAATGTATTTAGGATATTTAAAATATTAAATAAAAGTAATGAGAAGAATTTTTTTTTTTGGACAAAATGAGCATTTGGGAATTGAAGATTTTTGCTTTAAATGTATTAATTCAAATTTTAAACCCTCAATCGGTAGCATTTTAAAATAACAATAGAACTCGTGAATTCTTATCACAAAATAGGTGTACCTCGTAATAACTTTTTTGTAAATATAGGTATTTGTCAACACCAAGGTTCCCATGACATTGGGAACCAAAGTCATGGGATGACTCGGGAGTGCTCCGGTACCCCGTTCATAAAATTGACGGTTCCTACCCCCCCTAACTCCGCCGGTAAACCTCCCCCCACCCCGCCCCGACCCGAACACACCCCTCACCCCCTTCAATTGCACCGGAACATCTTCGGGTCATCCAATGACATTGGGAACCAATGTCATGGGAACCTTGCCCATTTGTCAAAGGGTCACTAAAGAACATGAAAAATTGAATAAAAGCCTATATCTTTGACTAAGGTAGTCTGCCATCAATGAAATTATAAAGTCCTTAAAGGTTGTATGGGACTCAATAGTAAGCACCTCCTCTCTGTTGAATATACAAGTGCAAAATTTGTCAAAGTAAGACCTCTACTTTAATGAAAAAAACATGCTCCCTCGGATTTTAATTTTAAGAAAAAAAAAATCTTTGTGACAGGCTTATTCTTTATCTTATTTTTCGTATTATTATTAGTGGCATTACACAGTGGGGTGTAATTGTCTTGACATGATCCATTCAAGAAAATTTCCAAAAAAAAAAAAATCAACCACGTTAGGAATACACCAAAAAAATAAAATGTATCTCATGTTGCAGACCATAGCTATATACTGACATTTTGATGATTCACGCTGACACAAAATATTAGTGTAATATTAAAAAAAATACACTAGCATTTTGTGTCAGTATGAACCATCACATTGATAAAAAATGTCAGTGCACACATGTAGCTTACAATTTAAAGTACAATTAGTACCCGCATGGCGGCATGGGTAGCTCAATTGGTCCAAGGAGAGGGTGCCAAGCCCATTGAATCCAGGATCGAACCCCGACGACGACAAAAGTTCTATTCTTTGTTATAACTCTTTGTGCGCACCGGGCACGGGGCGGCCTCTCTAAAAACTAAATTGAACTTGTACCATGATTTGGCTTCTCACAATTCTATCTGGCCGGGGTGTGAAGGCGCCCGGGGTGGGCATTCCACCTTTTGAAGTACAATTAATATACAAAGTACAAACTACATACGGAGTATAACTTTATTCCATAAATTGCACAAATAACATATTCCATAAAAAATGAAAGAAAAAAGTTATCACAGACCATAAAAGTCAACTGTGCAGCACGAAACAGAGTGAGAGAGAGAGAATCCTAAAATGTAAAAATGTGAAAAGAAAAGGAGACAAAAGGACAGACAATTGTGACACTTTTACATTCTGCCTGTTGACTCAGTACAAAAACACAGAGCTACTGTGTGTTTCATTTATTTCTATACTTCCCTCTCTCAAAACAACCATCCTAATTCCTAAGGGTACCCCAAGAATATACCTCAAAAGGATGTATCACTATTTTAACGATGATTCATACGGTAATAAAATGTTAATTCAATAAAAAAAATTGCACCGACATTTTGTGTCATTGTAAAGTAACACTCCAGCATCACACTAACACAAAATGTGGGTGCATACTTTCGGTACAAAGTTGAGTACAATTTTTGTGGTGTACAAATATCATTTCCGATCACAAAATTATGTCTTTTTTTAAAGACTTTCGATAACTTTTGTATGTGCATTTTAATTGATTATGCGATAAAATAAAATAAAATAAACATAACACCACTTATTCTGTAGAAGTTTTGATGTAGTTTTTAAATATGTAAGTAATACTTTTTATTTCTATACCAATTTATAAATAAAATCATTTTAAAAGAATCGTTACTTTAAAAAAGATGAGCTCCATTCCCGATGACTTCTTCCAAACCGGCTAGAAAGTCACCTGATAAGAGGAGAAATGAGCTTTAATCACAATCTGACTCGCAAAAGGTGAAGCCATCAGCCCATCACCTAATACTTGAAGAGACCATGTTGTTAACATAATTGCCTCTTAGTTCAGTTGCCAAAAATCGAACTCGAGTTAACCCTCTTTGGCCACCCCTTGCTCAACCAACTAAGCTACGCCCACCAGCACAGAATGGTTACTCCTGGTTGCTAGGAAACACATACCCAAGCCTAAATGAATAAATTTTGTACTGAATTAGATTAACGATCCTAAAACATCAGTAAATACACTATGGCTGATATGCAAGGATAGGTTGTAAATAAAAGAGAGACTTGGGAAGTTCATACAAATTGATCAGCAATGTACGTAGCTTCTCATCGGGAAAAGAAAAACGATATAGAGAATACCGAAAAAATGTTTTGGCTCTCTGCAAAACTGTAGAGAGGAGCAGGATGACATTAGTGCATAAGATGACAAGAGACTCTTCATATTTGTAACTTTCAACAAGCTTCATGAGCAATTTTGATCAATTAATGATCACTCATGGTGGTTTGTTAGATACATTTATGTTTAAATTTTGACCAATTGAATATAACTCTTTTTTTTGGAAGCCACACAGTGAAATTTAATATAAACAGAGGAATAAGTATCTGGTAGCATGAAATGTAATAAGAGTTGTAAAGAATCACGAGTGATGGATCGAAAATCGTGTAGAAGCTTAGAAATAGAACGATGATAGAGCTTACAATGATGTTGCTACATACGTATTTGATGGGTACATTGAGACCGACCCAAATATATAAATGGATTAGGCCCGGAATCCTGTTTCAGCTCATTGCCATCATAATGTTACATTGTTGCCAATGCTTTTGCAATTCAGAACCTGAAAATTCTTTCATTTCATAATTTGATGGCTACGCAGTATCACAGTAGGAAACAAAGTTGAAAACACACAATGGGTACCTCCTGCAGTGATGATCATAAGAATCAATGTTGGTGGCCAAAGCAATTTTCTTAAGATCTTCATTTCAGCAAAGCAACAGCTACACCCACCGTGGAATGCAAGTCTCAACCAGATTTGCAGTGTAGTTGGAATAATCGCATGGAAAACAGGAAATATTTTAAGGCTGGAAGCCGGAAAACACAGTTGAGGCAGGTTCATTTACCACTGCATACGAGAAATGAAAAGGTGAAACAACTCTACTGCTACGTGGCGGTTTTCTAGAAATGGGACTGGCGAGTCCCATTTCTATATATAGTTAAAGGGGTTAGGTTAAAGGGTTTATGGTTTAATTTGAACCGCTGTTGGTCATCTCTTATTTGGAATAGTTGTTCATTATCTTTTCAACAAAATGCCTTTGATGGTATGTTACTCTTCTAATTAAATGAGTTTGGGATTTTAGTGAGGGTTAAACCGTTTATTTTGATACTTGCTCCATTAATCATTCAATCCATATGACTTGTTCAACGCCAACTAATCACTAGAGCAAGTCATATGGATTGAATGATTAATGGAGCAAGTATAAAAATAAAAGGTGTAACCCTCACTAAAATCTGAAATTGGATTAATCAGAAGAGTAACATACCATCAAAGGCATTTTGTTGAACCGTAGATGATGAACAATGATTGCAAATAAGAGATGACCCGCGGCAATTCAAAAAATAAACCCTAAACCCTCTAACCAAACCCCTTTAACTATATATAGAGATGAGAGGGAGTCCATCAATGAGGAGGCCCATTTGACTCTCGCGTGTCCCATTTCTAGAAAACCACCACGTGGCAGTAGAGTTCTTTCATCTTTTCATTTCTCACTTGCATTCATATTGCGGTGGTGTACTCCGTTCCCAGACATTGCTTGTGGGATTCTACACTGCTCAAATTGTCCTCTGCATCTACATAAAAATACTCTAATCACCTCACCAGTAGTCCCCACATGAGCAAATTCCATCCTTGAAATGGTGGAATCGCTTGGAGTCTCTAATAACAATTTGCCGATCAACGATCTTGGTTGTCAGCTTAATTGTTGTATGACAGTCACTACATATTCTAAGATTCTTAATCACGTGGATTGTTTCGCCTGGGATGGAATTCAAAATCCCAAAAGCAACGGCCAGCTTTTCACTATGAACTTGCAATGCCAATCCTTTATCCTCTTCATCAACATCATGAAGAACCGAACTCATGTTCGGTGTGTAGCCAACCGCTTGCAACTCAATGGATAACTCGTTCAAATATGCATAAATCCTCTCATGTTGATGATGTTGTCTATCTCCAACAAGAAATAAATGCACCAGACCTTTCAGTTCAACTAGACTGAACCCTGGAGTTTTGGTTAACCCTTTGTTTTTCATGATTATTCTCATCCTCTCCATATCTTTCCATCTCCCAGCATCAGCATATATATGCGAAAGCAAGACGTAATACCCACAGTTGGTCGGGTCTATTTCAAATAACTTATTAGCACAAAGTTCTGCAAGTTCTACATTTTTGTGCATTCTGCAAGCAGCAAGAAGAGAGCCCCAAACAACAGAATCGGGCAACACCTTCATTTCATTGATAAGATTATATGCTTTGGTGAGATAACCGGCACGCCCAAGTAGATCAACCATGCAACTATAATGCTCTAACCCGGGGTGTATATGGAATCTGCATTCCATGGCTCTAAACCAATGCCATCCTTCATCAAGCAAACCCGCATGGGCACAAGCAGCTAAGACTGAAACAAATGTGATGTAATTTGGAGTCACCCCGGCATGATTCATCGCATAGAAGACTTCAAGAGCTTCCTTAGCTCGGCCATGCATCCCATAACCAGCAATCATGGCAGACCAAGACTTCACATTCTTATCTTTCATACGATCGAATGCCTTCCTAGCCATCTCCAATCTCCCACATTTACAGTACATGTCAATGATTGAGGTTCCAACATACACATTGTCTTCTAGGAACAATTTTATGACCTATGGATAACAGAGCCAACGGAAAATTAGGAAGGCATAAGTTTGCAAAGTATTAAGGAGAGGAATTTAAGAATCATAAGAAGCTGGTAAATCATGTAAATGAATACCTGATCATGTACGGACTTCCCAGGACGAAGAGCTCCAGCATGTGAGCATGCCAACAGCAGGGTGGATAATGTGATGGCATTGTATTTAACTTCTTTATCTCTAGCCAGCAAATGAAACAGTTCCATGGCTTCCGAGGAGAGCCCATTTTGTGCATAAACTGCAATCATTGAGTTCCAAGAGATGACATCCTTCTCGGCCATCTCCTCAAACACCTTCCTAGAGAACCCCACCTCACTGCACTTTGCATAAGCATCAATCAATGTGTTCCCTACACCCAGATGCTCATCAAGCCCCCTCTTGATCGCAAACCCATGGACCCCCTGAGTTATGTTTTTCCCCGAAACCCGAGAACAAGCAGATAGAACAGAAACCAATGCCACTGCATCAACATACACTTCCTCCTCTCCCACGCTCTCACTCTCCGAAACCAACAGTTCTTTGAACAGAAAGAGAGCGTCACGGGGATGTTCTCTTTGCACGTACCCAGCGATCATAGACGTCCAACAAACCACATTTCTTTGGGGAATTTCATCGAACAGCAATCGTGCATCCTCAAGCTCACCGCACTTGGAGTACATATCAATCAGCGACGACGAAGCAAAAAGGTCAGACCCATACCCAAAGATCAAAACTTGCTGGTGGAACTGCCTGCCGGAAGCAAGATCGCGGAGGGCGGAACAAGATTTGATGGCGCAGGGGAAAGACGAACGGTTTGGCCAAACGGAGAGCTTCCGCATAGAAGAGAAAGCCCGAAGGGCCTCAATGGAATCCCCACTCCTAGAAAGCTCTGCAATTACAGAGTTCCAAGAGAAAACATTACTCTTGTCCACGAATTTGTTGAAAAAGGTAGTGACGCTTGCAGAAGAAGAAGAAGTGGAATAATGGTGTTTGAAGGAGCATGCATAAACCCCCCATTTGTATATTTTCTTCTTCATCATGCCAAATCTTCTCCCCATTATTCTTCTTTTACACTAATGTTTTGCGTTCTCCCCCTGAGAGGAAGCTAAATTAGGGACGGGGGAGTATTTTGCTAAGAAGTTCGGAAAGAGTTAAGGAGAGAAATCTCGGGTCAAGAGAAGAGGATCTTGACGGGTCCGGGTATCCGGCCCACACACAACCGGATTTTGCTTGATATTCTGGAGTACGGGCCAGGTTCAAGGTTTATTACTCCCTCCGTACCAAAAAAAATGGGACGGTTTGACTTTTTGGGAAATTAAGGGAGGGATATTATGGTATTGACTTTCCAAAAATACCCTTGATGTGATGGATAAAAGTAAGATGTGATGGGTAGATTATTAGGAAAAAGGTATGATGTGATAGGCAGGGTATGAAAAAGTAAGGGGTAAAAGTGGTTTTTTAATAGAAATATAACAGACTTTACGGGACGCAGTTTTTTCTAAACATAACAAACTTTTTGGGACGGAGGGAGTATAATATAAACAGGGGCCTCCAAATTTCAGCCCGACTCCGGCATTATGTTTAAAGCTCAAGAGTGGGTCCGACCCGAATGAATAGAACTATTAGTGTAATTAACGCAAATGGACCTTAAATATATCATTTTTTCTAAATAAATTTAGTTATGTCTAAGCTAACGTTTGGTAATGGAAATTTTTAAAATGTTCTGCCTTTGAGAAAATGACCTATTACACAATCTAAGTAGATTAAGACATTATTTAAAAAAATTAAATAATCATTATCCAACATTTGTTGCTAATGATTATATTCCTAGAGTCATTCGTATAATGAGTCATTATCCAATACTTGTTGTTAATGAAGGCATATATGGCCGATCATATGGAATTATGAATCATAAATGAAATAAAACATACTTGGTAGGATATTCAGGAAAACGCACTGCCTTTTAATCCTATTTAATTTGGAGCAAAATTTTCATACTATTATTCTATCAACATGATTTTAATTGACGTGTATATACTTGCTAAATTTGTTATTTTAATTTTCAAGGATAATACTCTATCCGTCCCCAAAAACATGGGATATTTTGATTTTTAAGAGATTTAAGGAATGTTTATTTTGGTGTGGAGTTTCCAAAAACATATTTGTGATAGGCAAAAAATATAATTTGATGAGCAGATTAATAGTAAATAGATGTGATGTGATATGTAGGTAAGCTAAAAATTAGTACAGGTAAAAGTATGTTTTTAATAGAAATGAGAAAAAATTTTCTAGGACGGACGAAAAGAAAAAGAAGAGAAAAGTTTTCTGGGACGGATGAGGTATTGTTGAAAACATTTTCTTCCTTTATCTGTTAAATGGAATATTTTAGAGTACGTATGTGGGTAAATGATGATATCATTATCCCACTCCAAAACACGCCAAAAATACCAAAATATACTCTTTATTTATAAAATAAGAAATATTTGCACTAAATAGCACTAAAACTTAGGGTCCTTTTGGTATGCAGAATTGATTGAATTGGAATTGAAATTTCATGGGATTCAATTCCATAGAATTGAATTCACCAATTCCAATTCATTTTTTGCACTATCAATTCCAAATCCACATAATTTCTGTGCTATCAAACACCAGAATTGGAATTGAAGTCCTCAAATCTAATTCCATAGTTTGAATTCCTTGTACCAAACGGGGCCTTAAGTCATTTCCCTAAATAATACTTAAACTGTTTTATTCCCTAAATAGCACTCGATAATGTCCAGTGATGGCGAATATTTATTTGAATAATGACTAATGCATAATGACTAAAAATGCTATATTGGGAAGAAAAACATATGTGATGCTATTTACGAAAAGTCATTATATTTGAGTGCTATTAAAGTAAATTCCTCATAAAATATATTGGAGAATTTTGCTATAGTTTTAGATCGTATATACGTGCGTACGTACGTGAACATATATATGTGCATGCAAGCTAGCTAGGGAGTCGTAAGAACTAAGGAATAATATCTGCGTAAAAATAAAGTTCACATTCTTTATGATATATATCTCTCCTTTTATATATTTTCTCTCAATAAAAAAAATAAAAAATCTCCTTTTATTTTATTATCGTCAGCAGATGCCAATATGCCATCCATGCTTTTTTGTCCTCATATATAAATGTACACATACATGCATGCATGCGGCTTTGCGAAACGGTTCGTTATCCATACGTACCGGCCGGTCCGTATAAACATATATATGCCGTACTTGCAAATGGGTAACAGATTCATGAATAATAATACCGAGTACTTCAAAACGAGACCATCAAATTTTGTGCGAGAATAATCTATTTACAAATTGTCCTAGATAGGACTAAAACATATAGAAAAGTACAAAAGTATAACTTTCTTATTTTTATTTTCGAAATAAGACTTTGCACCGTGATAATGTGGCACTGTACATATGCACATTACTATACCTCTTAGTAATGTACATGACCATGTTTGATAATTTAAATGCATTTTAACTCTTATTTCGAGGATAAAAACATAAAAGTCATATTTTAATATATTTTCAATGTTATAGCACAGAAATTATGTGGATTTGGAATTGATAGTGCAAAAAATGAATTGGAATTGGTGAATTCAATTCTATGGAATTGAATCCCATGAAATTTCAATTCCAATTCAATATATTATTAAGTGTTGTTGCTATATGCCTATATCCAACCCCATTTTGAATAAATTCACTCCTTTTATATCAAATGGAAAATTTTACTCTTAAAACTAGTCTTATGTTCCAAAATCTTTTTTTTTTTTGTATTTTTGAAGAATAGATGTTAAATTTGTCAATTTAACATTGATAGAGTGGATATAACCAAAATAATCCAAGTTGTACTTGTACTCAAAGCTGCTACTCGTTACCGATAATCAGCTTGCGAGGATATTAAGAGTAATAATAGATATATTAGAAAATAGAATACTATTATTAATTACCTTTTCTTATTATATTTTTTTCTTATTGGATTATTATCATAGTTCTTATCCTAGTATTATTAGAATTTTCTACGGTCATCCCTATATATGTGTACCCTTCATTATATTATCCAATAAGACCAATTATTATTGAATTATATCAGTGTTAAGAAAACGCTCACATCGCATGGAAAAGCGCCAAACTTCACCAATGACATTGAGAATTGTCTTTATTTTGAGACAAATCAAATCAAAAATGATTTTGAGATGATAAATAATAAAGACTTATTATTCAGTTTTAAACCGTTCAAGTACAATAAGGCTCCGTTTGGCATCAGCGTTAGAGATTAGCGTTAGCGTTTTGAAAAAGTTATCCGACGGTAGCCTTTAGCGTCAACGTTTTCAGAATTAATCTGCACCGTTAAAATTTTATCCAAAACGCTAACGCTAATCGAAAACGCTGTTACCAAACAAAGCCTAAATAGCACAATATAATTACTTTTCCGTTGAAATCTCGATCACAATTCCACATTAAGAAACCAACTCAAGTATATAATTCAAAAGTTTAATTACTACATAGTTATAGTTCATGATTATAATTTAATTATTCGCTCAGAGAAATATCCTACTCTGTATTATATACGGAGTATAATCTAATTAACAATTGTTTTAATTAAATATAAGTTCAGTCATTGTTAATACCAAACAAAGAAATATTTATTTGAACTCTTAGTTAGCTAGGGGTCAACAAACAATGCCATGAAAAGAGAGCACAACCCACAAATGAACAATTTTAATTTGCAGCAGTAAACATTAAATTAAAGTTTCTCCATTCCATTACTCCTCCTCATCATCATCTTCTAGAAGCTTCTCCAACAAGCCGTCGTCGTAGCACTCGATCTCGAACACCTCCTTCGCCTTCCCAGCCGAAACCGAAGCAGACGAATGAGAGAGCGATGAAGAAGGGTAGTAGGAAGGTGGGTTTGGGAGCTTGGAGTAGTACTCTTTGGGGAAGTTCAAGATGGCAAGATGCCCTTTCAGTCTGAATGCTGCCCGGTCATACGCCCGGGCAGCATCCTCTGCGGTTTCAAACGTGCCCAGCCACTGGCGGGCGCCCTGACGCGTGGGGTCGCGTATCTCCGCCGCATACTTGCCCCACGGCCTCCGTCGGACACCGCGGTACTTCACCTCCTCCGCCTTCTCTGCCGCCTTGCTCCCTTGAGCCGCCGCCGCCTTTCCCCTTGACGATGAACTTCCCTCCATATTTATGGCCACTACTATTTGTTATTGGTTGAGAACAAATGCTACTCCGTACTTTATTTGGTGGTACTCCGTACTATCAATTTGTTTAGGTTTACTTTGTATTTATAGGCTTCTACGGAGTATATATTACGGAGTAGTTCCTATTTATAGACAGTGATCGATGGGGAAAATATTTTGTCGTATTTGTAGAGTTGTGATAAATGATCCTTATGCCCTAGAAGTGTATTGAAAAATACAAAAAAATAAAATAAAATTGCGAAACAGAATATTGCCCCAGCCAGGATTTTATGCTTTTGATTTTCTTCGTCAAACTTGTTACTTGATTTGAGTGATACTTCATACTTCATTCATTCAAAAATTTCTTTTCGGTTTTGATTTGATACAAAGATTAATAAGAAAAGTTAAAAAATATTGTAAAGATTTTCCGATCATGTGTTGTTCTTGATGTAATAGAATAAAGTGAATAGTGAATAGTGAATAATGTGAAATTTGCACTGAATAGGACTAAAACATAAGTCATTTTCCATTGTAGAACTTAAATTTTTTTATTCTCTAAATAGGACTTAATAATAACTAGTGAGAAGAATAATGTCCAAGTGATGTTGGACATTTAGTTGAATAATGACTAATAGATAATGACCAATGGTCCTACATTGAGAAATAAAAACATATAGTCCTATATTCAGAAAGTCATTATGTTCTAGTCCTATTTAGGTAAATTACCCATAATTAATGCAGAAAACTTTTGTGAAATAGATGGAGTATAAATATATACTTTCATCATTCTCAAACTGATTTCAATATGATCTCGTTGCGGTATACAATGCTTGACTAAAGTTACATATACTTTCATAACAAATTATTGGAAAACTGGTATGGACTTTAAAGGTCAAATAGTACTAGTACCCCCCATTGTTCGGAAAATAAGCGTTAATATTCCTCTGATTTTCAAAACTTATTTCTAAATTCTTTTGGTTTAAAAATGTTACACCCATATCACCTCTGATCATTTTCCGTCCATTTTTCCGGCAAAGAAGGAAGCATTGGTGCCTATTTTCCAAACCATAGAGGGCACCGGTGCTCATCCCTTATTATTTATTGATTTTTTATTTTTTCCTTCTTTGTTTCTTCTCTTAAACAAAGTTTTTTAAGTTTCTTTTTAAAATTGTTTTAAAATTTAAAATTATTTTTGTTTGAAAGTAAAATTAACATATACTGCATTTGTACATCTCAAGTTAATAATTTTTATTTTTGTTTCCTAAAATAAAAAAATTAAAACTTGTTTTGAGAAATTCAAAAATGAGGAATAAAATAATAAATAAAATAAAACACAATTATTTAAAAAAAAACACTATAAAAAATGTAAAAAAAAATTTGAAAAAAACTGTACAAGGAAAGGGAAACATAGAGATAAAAAAAGGGGAAGAAAAAGGAAAAAAACACAAAGTAAAAAACGAAAAATAAGAAATTAGCACGTGTGCCCCCTGTGGTTTAGAAAACAGGCATCAATGTTCCATCTTCGCCGGAAAGTGATCGGAGGGGATGTGGGTGCAACGTTTTGAAACTAGAGGACTTTAGGAATAAGTTTAAAAAACAGAAGGGATACTGGTGCCATTATTTCAAACCAGGGGGCTTTGGAGTTATTTTCCCAGAAATTTACATGGTATACTAATCTGGTAAAATAATATTTTAAAAATATTTTACAATATAAATCTAATAAAGTTATTCTAGTATCAATTTCATTTTTTCAGTGGTCAAAGTTTATCAAGTTTGATTATAAAAAGTCATAAGTAGATAAATACTTAACAATAAAATTAGGGGTACATCAATATTTGTATTCGATTTATACACTACATTTGTGACATACACAAATATGCAATAACCGTCAGCTAATCGCACACACAATTATTATATGTGTTACAGATGCTACGCAGACACCAACTCGGGGCACACGACCAAAAAGGACGAGGAGGCGTCCTAGCCGTTTTGATGATTTCGTTTGATGTTTTGGTTGATTTATTATTGTAAATTAGATTTTCTTAGGAGAGCGTGATATAAGCTCCTTCAAGAGTTTTCTTTTCGGTTCTTTCCCTTGACGCCTTTATTGAACCGACAGGTTAGATACTTGAGTTGTGTTAGGGTTAGCATACCTCTTTATTATAAATAGGAGGATAATTGAGTATTGAATAATGAGAAATGAATTAACCCTCAACTCCCTTCCTTTTCCTCTCCCTCTCTTCCTCTTCCCTCATCAGTTAAACCCCTTCCCCTCCTCTGCCGTTCATTTCCAGTGGAGTAACNTTCTTTTCGGTTCTTTCCCTTGACGCCTTTATTGAACCGACAGGTTAGATACTTGAGTTGTGTTAGGGTTAGCATACCTCTTTATTATAAATAGGAGGATAATTGAGTATTGAATAATGAGAAATGAATTAACCCTCAACTCCCTTCCTTTTCCTCTCCCTCTCTTCCTCTTCCCTCATCAGTTAAACCCCTTCCCCTCCTCTGCCGTTCATTTCCAGTGGAGTAACAATGGTGCTTCCATCTTTGACCTCAATCACAACCAATCACCATGAGTGCCGATGCCGGCAAGAACTCCGAGACTCCTTTGCCGCTAACCACGATTATGCAAGCCATTCAAAACCTTGGCCTGGAGCTTAATAACACGAATAAACGCTTGGATGCGTTGGCGAACCGAATCGTCGGGGACGATGCAGGAGTATCTGGCCAGAAAACCCCGTCCCATGAAAGCCGGTGGCAGCCTCCGCCGTCGCGCACAACGGGTCGTAATGACTCGTCTGACCGGCAGCCGCGTTTGCGCATCGACCCTCCACGTTTCAACGGAGAGGATCCGGTGGGCTGGATATTTCGCATTCAGCAATATTTTGATTATTTCTCGACGGCAGAGTCCGAACGCCTTCAGTTGGTTGGTATGTTTATTGATCACCCGGCGTCCGAATGGTTCCGTTACTACCTTACCAATTCCTGTGGCGGCACATGGGTGGAATTCTTGCAAGCAGTGAAACAACGTTTTGATCCCGATCATTATGCTGATTATGTAAGTCTTCTTTCTCGGTTGCAACAACACACTCCGTTATGGCATATCAAACGGCGTTTGAAGGCTTGCTTAATAAAGTATCTGGAATTCCGGAATCTACCCTCATTTCTATGTATAAAGGCGGCCTCAAACAACCGCTTCAACGGGAGCTTAATCTCCGTAATCCGGGAACATTGGCCGAGGCATTTGCATTAGCACGTGAACTAGCGGCATGCACGACGGTCATGGGTCCAACCAAACGGGTATGGCAGTCGGGCACTGGGGGTGTTTCATCTCAGCCGCCAGTAGCTTCCTTAGAGGGCAGTAGCACCAAATCAACCTCCTCCTTGCCTATTATCCGCCTTACACCAGCCGAACGGGCGGAACGTACTCGCAAGGGGTTATGTTGGAATTGCGAGGAGAAATACGTACCCGGACACCGTTGTGCGCACAAGTTTTTGGCTCTACTGGGCACGGATGATGAGCAGCCGCTGGATGATTCTGCTCCAGCTGACCCGGAGGACGGCACCCTCATTACGGGCGATATTTCGAGTATTCACACAATGTCAGGCGTTCCAAATCCTCGCTCTCTTCGCCTTGCGGGTTCCATTAACGGGTCTGCCATTCAGGTTCTCATCGATGGGGGAAGTACCCATAATTTCATCCATCCTACCCATGCTGAACGTTTATGTTTGGTCTTGCATCCCGTCACACCGTTCTGGGTGTATGTAGGGAACGGTGATTCCTTACGGTGTTCCTATTATTGTCCAAAAAGTCCACTGGTTTTACAGGGCCACACATTTGATGTTGATCTATATTTGCTGCCGGTCCATGGTCCCGATGTGGTGCTTGGGGTACAGTGGCTACAAGGGTTGGGCAAAGTTTCTCATGATTATTCGGCAATGACAATGGAATTTAACTGGAATAATACTCTAGTGGTGTTGAAGGGTGATGTAACTCCACCCAAGTCCCTGTCCTTCTCGGCCTTTCAATCGCTAACCGCTTCGGATGCGACGTTTGAACTCTATGAGTTATTTGCTATGCAAGGGACGGAACCAGACCTTACCTTTTCCGAGGCAGACCTGCCTGATGTTCCACCAGTGATCCGCCAAGTCCTCCTCCAATACGCCGGGGTGTTCCAGCTTCCTTCGGGCTTGCCACCGTCTCGTATATGGGACCATCGTATTTACCTTCAGCCGGGGACGAAGCCTATTAATGTTCGGCCTTATCGTTACCCCTACTTTCAGAAAGGGGAAATTGAACGTCAGGTTCGTGACATGCTACAACAGGGGATTATTCAACCGAGCCAGAGTCCTTTTTCATCACCGGTTTTGCTCGTACGCAAAAAAGATGGCACTTTTCGTTTTTGCGTTGATTATCGAGCCTTAAATTCCGCCACTGTTCCGGATCATTTCCCAATTCCTACGACCGATGAACTGTTCGATGAACTTGGGGCAGCCCGTTTCTTCACGAAGCTTGATCTTCGTTCGGGGTACCACCAAATTCGCATGCACCGTGATGATATTTTGAAGACCGCATTTCGGACGCATGATGGCCACTTTGAATTCTTGGTCATGCCATTCGGCCTCACGAATGCCCCATCCACCTTCCAAGCGGCGATGAATCATTTATTCCGGCCCTATTTGCGTCAATTTGTGATAGTTTTTTTTGACGACATATTGGTCTACAGCACCTCCTTGGAAAATCATGCGACTCACCTTGAAGCTACACTCCGTTTATTGTTGGGCAACCATTTTTACGTAAAACTTTCGAAGTGTTCTTTCTGTCGCACCACCATTGAGTATTTGGGCCACCTTATTTCGGACGGCGTGTTGAAAGCCGACCCGTCTAAATTGGACGCCATGGCTGCGTGGCCCACTCCGACAAATGTTAAACAATTACGTGGATTTTTGGGACTTACTGGATATTACCGGCGTTTTATTAAGGGGTACGCCACCTTGGCTGCTCCGTTAACCGACCTCTTGAAGCTCGGCACATTCCGCTGGACGAAAGAAACGGAGGCTGCATTTCAAACTTTGAAGGAAGTGGTGACCAAACCGCCCGTGCTCCACCTCCCTGATTTTTCCAAGTCGTTCGTGGTGGAAACGGACGCGTCCACTGATGGCGTAGGGGCTGTTTTGATGCAGGCAGGCCACCCAATTTCTTTTTTCAGCAAAAAGTTGGGGCCCCGCCGTCGTGCTTCGTCCACGTACCATAAGGAGCTCTATGTCATCGTTGAGGCTGTTCAAAAGTGGCGGCAGTATTTGTTAGGCCGCGAGTTTATCATCCGGAGTGATCAAAAGAGTTTGAAAGAATTACTTCTTCAAATAGTCCAAACGCCCGACCAACAATTCTATATACGGAAGTTAATGGGTTACAAGTTCAAAATCGAATACAAGCCGGGCAGCGCCAACCGTGTAGCCGATGCTCTTTCTCGACGTGACGAGACAGCCCCAACTCCGTCCTTGCTCCTCACGTATGTGCAGCCGGTAGCCAACATCCTGGATGTGATTCGTAGTGAGAATCATAGCATGGCAGACCTTCGTGTGCTTCATGAGGCCGCGGCACGTGGGACACTGGCATTCCCCTACTCGGTTCACGATGGTCTCCTGTATTACAAGCATCGGATTTGCATCAGTTCCACGTCTGATTTGCGTTTGCAGTTGCTAACCGAATACCATGCTTCCCTAGCCGCTGGGCATACTGGTGCAGATCGGACTTTTCGTCGCTTAGCAGCTACGTTCTATTGGCCCCGTATGCGCAAGGAGGTGCAACACTTTGTTAAGATGTGCCATGTTTGTCAAACTACAAAATATTCCACACAAAAGACACCGGGCCTTCTCCAGCCGCTTCCTGTCCCGGCTCAAGTTTGGGATGAGTTGACCATGGATTTTATTACGGGCTTTCCTCCTTCCCAGGGGCGCACAGTGATTTTTGTGGTTGTCGATCGATTGACCAAATATGCCCACTTTGGGGCTTTACCGGTTGCTTTCGACGCCCCTCAGACAGCCAAGCTCTTTGTGGATATGGTCGTCAAGCACCATGGGATGCCGTCCTCTATTGTGTCCGATCGCGATCCCGTTTTTATGAGTACATTTTGGCAAGAGCTTTTTAAGCTTAGCGGGACAACGTTGAAGCACTCGACGGCGTATCACCCACAAACGGACGGCCAAACGGAGGTGCTAAATCGGGGACTGGAGCAATATCTCCGGGCATTCACGAGCAGTCGGCCGTCTAAGTGGGCTACTTTTCTTCCATGGGCAGAATTATCCTTAAATTGTTCATATCATGAAGGCCTAGGGACCTCCCCGTTTCGTGCGTTGTATGGCCGTCACCCGCCTCCGCTAATTCCTACACGGCCCATTTCTAGTCGGTGTCCCTCCGTGGAGGCCATGTTGACAGAGCGGGCAGAGTTACTGGGAGAGCTGCGTGACCACCTGCGGAAAACACAGCAGCGTATGCAGGAGCGGGCGAATCAACATCGAAGGGACGTGTCCTTTGCCGTGGGGGACTGGGTTCTGTTGAAACTTCAACCGTACCGCCAGCACTCGGTCGCCAAACCCCTCTCGGTAAAGCTATCGCAGCGGTATTATGGACCATTTCAGGTGCTTGAAAGGATCGGGGCGGTGGCTTATAGGTTACTTTTGCCTGAAGGGTCTCGAATACACAACGTTTTTCATGTTTCCTTATTGAAAGCATATCATTCGGAGACTTCTCCCACGTCGTCTGGCCCCCTCCCACGTGATTTTGTGAAGGGCCGACCAGTGGTAATGCCTACGGCGGCAGTGGGTACACGTACCGTTTTAGTGCATGGCATTCCCCAAGAGCAGTGGTTAGTGACCTGGGCGGATGGCGGTTTGGAGGACGCGACTTGGGAACCGGTGGAGACCATCACGAAGGCTTTCCCCGATCTTCAACTTGAGGGCAAGTTGGTTCTCGATCCGGGGGAGAATGTTACAGATGCTACGCAGACACCAACTCGGGGCACACGACCAAAAAGGACGAGGAGGCGTCCTAGCCGTTTTGATGATTTCGTTTGATGTTTTGGTTGATTTATTATTGTAAATTAGATTTTCTTAGGAGAGCGTGATATAAGCTCCTTCAAGGGTTTTCTTTTCGGTTCTTTCCCTTGACGCCTTTATTGAACCGACAGGTTAGATACTTGAGTTGTGTTAGGGTTAGCATACCTCTTTATTATAAATAGGAGGATAATTGAGTATTGAATAATGAGAAATGAATTAACCCTCAACTCCCTTCCTTTTCCTCTCCCTCTCTTCCTCTTCCCTCATCAGTTAAACCCCTTCCCCTCCTCTGCCGTTCATTTCCAGTGGAGTAACAATATGTGTGTGTCTAATTATTATATGTGTGCGTCTAATTATTATATATGTGCGTCTGTAACAAATGTGGTGCNTTGATGTTTTGGTTGATTTATTATTGTAAATTAGATTTTCTTAGGAGAGCGTGATATAAGCTCCTTCAAGGGTTTTCTTTTCGGTTCTTTCCCTTGACGCCTTTATTGAACCGACAGGTTAGATACTTGAGTTGTGTTAGGGTTAGCATACCTCTTTATTATAAATAGGAGGATAATTGAGTATTGAATAATGAGAAATGAATTAACCCTCAACTCCCTTCCTTTTCCTCTCCCTCTCTTCCTCTTCCCTCATCAGTTAAACCCCTTCCCCTCCTCTGCCGTTCATTTCCAGTGGAGTAACAATATGTGTGTGTCTAATTATTATATGTGTGCGTCTAATTATTATATATGTGCGTCTGTAACAAATGTGGTGCACAAAAGGGACACAAATGTTGTGTACCCTAACACAATTCATATTATTTTAACGTATTCATTTGGTTTAATAAGAGTAGATGTGAAGTATTTTGACAAAGAAGTATAGTTTATTTTGGTACATCAATTGTGTTATCATTTGTTTGATACTTTGATAAATGTTGGGTGGTGTTTAGTTAAAACTAGAAATGTGTATAAGTTAGCTAGGGGCCAAATTTCGTTGCACTTTTAAATTTTTTGTCCAAAGTTGTTTACTTTTGTTTTAAATTCGACACGTACTTTGCTTTCCAGTGGGTTTGAAGAAATACTATTCAGATCTTAAAACCAAATCTATGATGAAATATTCAAAAGAATATCTATCTTTTGGACTTGACTTGCTTTACTGCTATGTTCAAGTAATCTATCAAATTCTGGTTACAAAAGCAGGCATTCGGATTTTTCAAAGATATAATAGAATTATACTTGGTACTAGATATGTTCATTCGAAATTAAAGGATCACCATTTTTTTAGTTTATTTCAGAAATATGTTTATTTGATAGATGATGTGTTATTTATCTTTGAGAAATTTAAAATAAATGATTCTTTTTTATAAAAAATGATTAGAAATATAATTGAATACTTATCTCTTATTCCCTCCCATTTTTAGAGTCTCTTCTTTAGAACTGGAAAAAAAGAGTTGAATATTGGAAGAAACTGGAACGAACGGGAAGAAGCTAGAAGAACTTGAAGAAACTGGAAATAACTGGAAAAAGCTGGAAAAAAATTAGAAAAAATTGGAAAATCTAAAATTTTTTATTTTTTTGTGTGTATTTTTATTATTTTCATTCCAATTCATGTTATTATAAATTATTAATGTTATTATTCTTGTTGTTGTTGTTGTTGTCATCACGTTATCTTAATTAATGTTTTTAAGATAAAAAAAAATTATTATTTTTCATACACACAAAAACTACTTTTGCAGAAAACATTAATTAGAATATAAAATTAGCATAACTATTTTTTCTTTTATAATTGATTTTTTTCATTATAACCCTACATTTGGAAAAAAGACATAGAACTTTTTTTTTTACATTTTTATGCTTTGCTTCTATCGAGACAACGAACAACGGAAGATAGGCCCAAAGTGGTGTTGTTTTATGAACAAACTAAAGATGCAATAAAGCACTTTTAGAGATGAAATAGCAATTAATATTCTACAATGCAGTTAAGCTTAACTTATCTGAATTTGTTTTTTACACTATTCAGATCGTTTTTTCTTTTTCAAGATGTAGTTCTCTCTTGGTTTTAAAAATGTAGTACTCCCCACCCATTTAATTATTATATTTTAAGATAAAAATATTGATGTTTTCCTTATATAAATTTAGATTAAAAAACATTTTATATAACTATTTTATCCATAGTTTTTTTAATAGCTTAAAATATTAATATTTTCCTATTTTATCTTGTAGATTAATATATAAAAAATGGTTGTATTCATATTAAAAAGTTGAAGAAAAAATTATAATTATTATGAATCATAAAAATAGTGAGATGAAAAAATGAAATAATTTATAAACTATATTTTTGAACATAATAGGTGTAATAATAATAATATATTGTTTTTAGAACAATTGGTCGGGAAGTAGAAAAAGTTTAAAGAAAATAGAAAATAGTTGGAAGAAACTGGAAAGAACTGGAAAAACTAGAAAAGACTAAAAAGAACTGGAAGAAACTGGAAGTTAAGAGTTCGAGCCCTAAAGAACATGTTCTTAATACGGAGTATAATTGTATATTTTGTTTTTTGTGTTATATTTTAATTACTGTAGATTATAACTGTCCTCTACCTCTAGGCTGGGAATGTAAACAAATCAAATACTTTTAATTCGGTTCGTCATTTGTATTCCAATATAATGATTTGAATTCGCAATATTCAAATTCAAATATTAGTTTTGATTCGAATATTAAACAAATACAAATACAAATAGAAGTATATTCTATTCGGGTGATATTCGAATATTTGAATATATGTATATACCCACAAATCATGTTTCAATATCAATAATCAAGTAAACTAGTATTATATAAAATGTATTTAAATTACTAAGATAGAATTCAACAAATTAACATATCACGAAAATCTAAAAGATATGATTTTTAGTTATATTTTATAAAATATAATTTGTGTAAGATGAAAATGTATTAATTTTTTAGATATAGTATAAGAAGTATAGTAAGTTAAATTATTTAAAATCTATGTTGGCCCATCATATAAATTATGGAGTATATTTATTAAAATATTCATTTAGGATTCGTTAAGTATTCGAATATTAATCAAATTCAAATTCAAATCTTATTTTTTATTCGTCTCATATTCGGATTCGGATTCGTATTCGAAAAAATTAAACAAATACAAATTCGTTTTTACTTTTTATTTGTAGAAAAATAAATTAACACTTCGGTATGTGCCCAGAAGTTGACACTTTACAACTATGGAGTTATACTTTCGTTCATGAATGTTTGTCTAGTTTTAAATTTTTTTGGTTAAAGTTGACGAACTTTGATTATTGATGAAATAAAAACGGTATTAGATATTGTTAAAAATTAAACTTATTAGATATGTTTTATAAAATATTTTCAATTTTTTTATCTTATTCATATATACCATATATACGGAGTAATTTTTATTTAATTCTAGATCAAAAATTAAATTTGGTTTACTACAAAAAATCAAAACTAGACAAATACCAAAGACGAAATTAGTATTTCTTCAGGTCTCCCATGTTATGATATGGGGAACAATAAACTTAATATCACTAATTCCATTTTAAAAGGTCGTATGGTAGTTTCAATAAATTAGAGTATGTATTTATGCCGAGTAACGTATATCAATGGACAAATTTAAATATTAATGGTTAAATATTATTCCCTCCGTCCCCCTAAGATGTTCTCATTTTGACTTTTGGTGGTTTTTAAGGAGGGTTGAAAAAAGGTGAAATTTTACCATAATACCCTTAATGAAAAATGAGTGAAGTGTATTAAATGAGGTGGGTGAGGTGTAATAAATAAAGTAAGTGGGGTAATTGTGGTATTTTAATTGTTAAAAAATGAAATGAGAAGATCTATTGTGGACATAGAAAAAGGGCTATTGGGAAGATCTATGAGGGACGGAGGGAGTATTTCATATTAAATAAAGTCAAATGATAAAAAATTCCAAAATAACAACATTGCATGTAAAATTCTTTCTTCTTGAATTCCAATAGATCATTAGAATTTGGACCTAATTTCTTCAATCACTTTGTTATCCACCCGGAAAGATTTTGCCAAAAAATCCTCAGAGATAAACGCCGCCGTTTCTTTCCCAAAGAGCTGGTCCGCCACAAAGTTGAACCCCGGGCTCTGGCTATTGAAAACCGTAATGGTAGTCCCATTCTCAACCCCCAAACTCTCCCCAAAGTGAACCAACCCTTGTGGCACCACAAACACGTCCCCGGCGTTGCACGTTTTCGAGAACACCACGTTCTTCGTAGGGTCCTTCGGGTCCACGGCCGCGAACCCCAAGTTGAAAGTGCCCTTCAAAACTAGGGCCAGCTCGGTTGCCCGGGAGTGGATGTGGGGCGGGATCACGGTCCCGGGCAAGTAGTCGTTCCTGACCATGGTCAGCCCCAACGTGTTTAGTCCCGGTATCGTGTTCACGCTGGCTGCACTGTACCACGAACCCGGAAACGCCGCCGGGAATTGGGATGCATTCAAGCCCGATGTCGAGAAATCGTCCGCCGTTACGAGTTTCGGGTCTTTGCATGCCCTCCCGTTGACCAACACTGCACGCGCACGAATAGACAACAGTTAGTCAAACCAAAAAAAGTCAAACTTGTGATTGTACTGTATGACTATATATATATAGTTATACCTGTAGCTTTGGGGTCAGCAACACAGAAGTCTTGGAGAGGGCTTGGGTCATAGGCAAGAACAAATGAATTCCTACTAAGAGCAAAAATAATACTAACAAAAGCTATTATTGTCCAGTAATGAGAGCCCATTGTTATTATGCCTTGTTGTGAATTGTGATAATGCTGGTTGTGGAAATGGAATATTTATAGAGAGGCATTTTCATATTTGGTATGAAATCATTTTTTGCATTGATTGCTCAATAAAATTTTAATTTGTGATCGTAATAAATTTGGGAGCATTTTGGTTGTTATTGTTATCCCATTTTTACGCATGGAACTGACGTTACGTTATTGTTAACAAATGTCATACATATACACACACACATATATCCGTGTGCAAAAAACTTCCAAATATTGCATTATAAGAGTACTCTCAATTAGATAGCGTAGAATCCGTAGATATGTAGGCTCCCCCATACACGGAAAACTGACAAAGATGGCAATGATAACATGGGCTTTGAATCGTCACGCTTCTCTTGGGCCGGATACTCAAGTATTAGGATCAACCCGTTCGGCCCGCCCATTAAAAAGGGTGGATTTAGACAACCTTTATACCCACATAAGCGGGTCAGCCCAAGCATGAAATGTACTTGGGCAGATCTGAAAGTTACTTTTAGCCCATCCGGGATAACAGATCTTCCCATATTCATCAAATACATTTAATTTATTATTAATTACCTAGCCAATATAAATTTTAAAATTTTCTATAGTTCATGTATAATAGTTCAATTAACTCATCCCTCTTAAACAAAAATCAATATTTTTTTAATGAATCACTATGATGGATTTAATAATTATGCAACAATACATCTATTATATTTTCTATGTTAATGTAGCGAGTGGTGATTTTATTTTAAACATTGAAAAAAGAGTTCAATTTTTTCTTTTTAATTTTTTTGTGCAAAAATATTTTTTTGATGTTTTATCTGGGCTGGGCGGCCCAGTGGGCAGTTCGGCCCGCTAAGGTAGGTGGGTATGGGTAAAGAGTTTAGCTTATCAAATTCGGGGGGGGGGGGGGGGGGGGGGGCANATAATTTATATCCAGCTCTGCCCAATCCTTATTTGCACAGGTTTAATCAATAATTAATAAATAAGAGATCTTCCTACACAAGTGAAAAATTTTAAGGACACCAAAATAAAAGTATAATAACAGTGTGATAGTAAACTGATGACGATGTGATCAATGTCAGTAATCGATGGTGGTACTTTGGTGACCAACACTGACGAATGACAGTATAACAGTGATAGTGTGCTAGTTGTAGTATGACAGTGTGGTGAGTATGGCAGCGTAACAATAATATTGCAATGTGAACTCATACTTTCACGGTAGATCCATGTTATATAGGCTATGAGAGCAGTCACCCCAGCGTGTGTGTATACGTTCATTTGTTTAAAACTATATTCAATTTATTTCTCAATGTTTTTCACAATTTAACAAAAAAAAGTGAATCATAGACAACAGTTATAACTACGTCCGTGAATTTAAAAATAAAACGATGTAGATCGAGTTGGTGGGAAAAAGCAGTGGGAAAATGGAGTTCAAACCGTTGACCTGGGAGCTGCAAGTCTGAAATCTACAACATTTCAGCAACGGGGAATAGACGGTCCAAAACGTGCCACGTAGGACCGAACCCACATTCTGGGGACGAACAGGCCGCGTGGCGAAATCGTAACCGCGGTGGCTTTTCGTAACTGGGGCCCGGAAAAGGAATATTCCCGGGGGAAGATGCCACCTCGGCGAGGTTAAATAACACCGAGTCACACATTATTTCTTCAATTCCCACTTATAAACAAATAAATGCATTAATGCAAGACTTAAGAGTTAAGAGCTTTAGAGTCTTCTCCGGCCACTTCCCGTCGGCGATCGTCCCCGTCCGACTTTGCTCCGGCGAGGTAATCTGTCTCAGGTTAGTCCACCACTTAAATGTGCTCCCCAACACTATTTCGAGATCAATCTTAATATTTTAATAAATAGAAGCCAATTATTTATATATTTCGTATATTTTATAAATAGGTCGATGACATTGTAACACATTCGTAATTTGACATTATGTGTTATTACTTCAGAGAACACATTTTGGTATATTACTCTATATTTTTTTGAAAGAAAATGATATTGAAGTTAGATATCGCAACTTCTCTAGCTAAGTTAGCATGATTAATTCCGATATCATATTTAAAAACTTCTCCCTCCGTTCGTTAAAAGAATTCTACTTTTGACCAAGTGATAAAATAAAAAAGTGTTAAATTATAGTTGACTTTCAATTTTGCTTTTGATATGATGTGTAAAAATAAGATGTGATGGATAGATTATTAAAGAAAAAGTAGGATGTGATAAGTAGGATAAGAAAAAGTAAAGGTAAAAGAGGATTTTTTAATAGAAAGTGGAAGTATTTTGTTGAAATTAGAAAAAATGAAAAAGGAAGTGTTCTTAAGAATAGAGGGAGTAATTAATTTAACCAAAAATTTAAAACTTTAATTGTAGACCTAGGAAAAAGCTTTTATACGATAAGAACTTTGTTGAGAGTTTGTTTGTGATGCATTAGCAAAATGTGAATTAGATGAATTTATAAATGTTTGAATTATTTCGAGCTCCACTTTAGCTTTTTATGATATATATACTCCCTAATCTTCAAATCTTAAAATGTTTGGTCCAAAAAAAATGTTGGACCAAGTTTGTTTGATATATTTTGAACGTATATGGTCTGTATTGATGTAATTAGCTATGCTAATTACATGATTTAGAACAAAAATACAAAGGACATGTGGATTAATGTGTGCTCTTACCAAAATTTCCCCACAAGCAATCAATTTGTGACAAGAGAAGAATTATCATAAATGTATGTATAGTGAGACTTTCTCGTGTTAACAACTATATTTATATAAAAATATTTCTTGTAATATTTAGAAACTATGTTTCAAAATAAATATATTAATACTAAACTTATCATTGTAACGATTCAATATATATTATCTGTAAATCACGATCAAGAGTTAAAATGTTATACCAAGAAAAAATTAATCTGGAATGAAAATTAATTTTTAGACGAAAGGAGTATTATTGATCTTAACATTAACAAACTTACCTTATTAAGCTTTGAGAAGGGTGATAGCTCACGTTATTTGAGGGGAGAAAGACCAAAATAGAACTAAAACATTGAAAATATACCAAAATAGGACTTCCATATTTTTATTCTCGAAATAGGACTTACATTACCAAACATGGTCATATACATTACCAAAAAATTATACTCCATAGTAATTTGCACATATACACTGCCACATTACCACAATGCAAAGTCACATTATCACAGTGCAAAGTCTTATTCGGGGAAAAAAACATGAAAGTCCTATTTTGGTACTTTTCTCTATATTTAGTTCTATTTAGGATAGATTTCTATTATTTGATAAAACATTTTTTACCGATAAAATGTCAAAATCGGATGTGCATGAATTTTTACTAAATGATGATACTCCCTCATGTTTTATGATTACAAAAAATTTAAGTTATTGGTAATTAGTTTTAAATGATATAATATCTTAAACGATAAGTCTAAAATGACACCAATGCTACTGGTGTCATTCGCTTACACCAGTTCGTTTGGAAGACTTACGGTGCTCCGTTTGTAAAAATGACGGTTCCTACCCTCCCTAACCCTCCCCCTAAACCCCCTACCCCAGCCCCACCCTTGCCCCCCACCCCAGCCCCCCCTCCCGCCCTCCTCCCTACCCTAACAGTACATTGCCAGGCACTGCCAGGGTAGGGAGGGGGCGGGAAGGGGGGTTGGGGTGGGGGGCAAGGGTGGGGCTGGGGTGGGGGGTTTAGGGGGAGGGTTAGGGAGGGTAGGAACTGTCATTTTTACAAACGGGGCACCGTAGGTCTTCCAAACGAACTGGTGTAAGCAACTGATGTATAAATAACTGGTGTCATTTTAAATGCTCTCTATCTTAAAATATAGATAGTAGTAAATTTGATATATAGCATTGTTCAATATTAAAAAAATGCACATATGTATGTTCATATAATTATAAATATTATTATATCTTTCATTTAAAATAATACTCCCTCCGTCCCACTCTTTTTGTCCACTTTCATTTTTGCACACCATCAATGCACTTCTTTAATCCATTTTATCTTGTAATTTGTATATTTAAAAATTATAAAAATTATATATTAATAATCTATATGTTAAGACAAATCAAACAAGATCACACATGACTATTTTTAGACTTACACATTGAGAGAATTTGATGAGTCAAAGTGCTTAGATGAACAGTTTCAAAAGTCAAAACTGGACAAAAAGAGTGGGACAGAGGTAGTACAAACAATAAAAGAGAGAGCATTAGCGCATACTACATTTATTTTATTACCAATGATATGTCAATCAAGGATGTTTTTTGCTAAATAAACACATGATTTATCAAAAAATTGCAAGAAATATTTTCTCCGTCTCAAAAAGTCCTTCACATTTCAAAAGAATCATGTTCCCAGGCCAAAAGTTCTTCTCATTTATATTATAAACCACTTTTATCCCTTTCTTTTTTCATACCCATATTGATTGATTATATTGTGGTTTTAATTAATCGCTTTCATGCTTTCTTTTTTTTCTTTTGTCCCATAAGTCATGAGATCAGATATTATTGTAGCAAGTCCACGGTTCCCTATTTTGCACCGACTCCAACTACTTTTTTCAAAGGTTTTTATCTTTAAATACTCCGTAATACTTTGGAAATAAGAAAGCAGTCTTCATTTTTTATTTTTTAAAAAATGAACTTTTCCGGACAAGTAAATTCAGTTCATATCAATAATAATAAGTGAAAATTGCACTAAATAGAACTAAAACATAATGACTTTCCTAATGTAGTACTTAAACTTTTTTATTCCCTAAATAGAACTTAATAATGACCTTGTGAGAGGATTAATGTCCAGTAATGATAGACATTTACTTGAATAATGACTACTTGATAATGACCAAATGTCCTACATTGAGAAATAAAAACATATAATCCTATATTGGGAAAGTCATTATGTTTTAGTCCTATTTAGGTAAATTTCTCTAATAATAATAATAATACGAGAAATTATGATGATACAATAATTCGAGTCTAAAGTTTTATAAACTAAAAATTGGAATATGAAGAGTCGTGTTTATATATTGGTCACAATGTCCACATTTAAAATTTTGATTTTCTCACATTTTTCATAGACTTTTACATGTGAATATTTCTTTTACCTTTTTTTTTTGTA